GAACCGCTCTTCCGATCTTCGGTTCTAGAATTTCAACCCCTACTTTTGGTGCTCGTGAGGGCCAGTCGGGGCCGGCTTCGCCGGGATCTTCTAGAACCGAACTACGAATTTTTGAACTATGTAGCTCACAACTGTGCGCATGCCCCGCCCACAGTGGGCGGGGCTTAGCTCAGTTCATGTGTGTTCCGTACATCTTGACCCATGCCCTACCCAACCCACCCTTGACCCGCCCCCTCCAACTGGCTCTTCAGGTGATTCCGAATTTCCGGACAGACAGACAGACAAACAGACAAACAGACGTTGCCGTTTATATATAGTAGGATGAGAAATCTCATCTGGCTCGCTCCATGCCATTTCTCCTCACAAGCCCTATCGTTTGGAGGGTTCATGACCGTAATGTGTCATAAATTTCAATTCGACGCAGAGACCGCACTCCAAGCGAAGCTCAAACCCGCCGCAATGTTGCACTATCATGCCCCGGAGTATCTGAAATTCAACTGCTCCCCACTGCCGTCCTTCGTCCACACCCTCTTCCGCCTTAGTCCGTTACTCTAGCTACCACATTTAGTTCCACAAGAATCCGTCATGAAGGGGACGTTGTACAAGTAATTAGAAAAACAGCAATACCATCGTTAGGAAAGCATGCACATCAACTGGGAACTTCTGCACTTGTTTTCTCAAATATCAGCAATAAATGTGATCCATCCAATATGGCCGTGAAGGTTCACTGTGGGACGTGACCCCCCTAATCTTTATCTTCCTGCGACACCCACATCAGCCTCTGGTATCACCAAAATCTAAACTGAGTAAGAACTACCTATGATTACCTCGGACGAAATAAAAATGCAGCTGTCGCCATGGAATGCTTGGATCGTTTTCGACGAGAGCACTGCAGTACTTGAGTTTACCAAGAAATCAGTGATCGTTTGGTGAAGACAACGTGACGTCTTCGGCAAAAGAACGAGAACAGTTGGCGAGACCGCCTGTTTTGAGGTGCATAAATGCACAGTGGAACGTTACATAGCAGTCTCCACTCCAGTTTCAGAGCATACCTCTAGAGTTGAGAGGTGGCTTGGCCCTCATACGCCGCCAATCGCAGTGGCTCCCAAACCACAGTCCCTGCCGCCCTTGTAGGGTTTTTCGCTCCATTATCTTCCTACCTATTAGCCCTTAAAAACTAAAATTCCCAAATATGTTTTAAATAAGTAACATTTGGCATACTGGGAAGCTGAAGTTTCACTGCTCTCTTAATGACTCAGGCAACATAAGATTGCTGCCAAACATCACCAATTCTTGCATGGTTCTTGTGCAATCACAAAGATAGAACGTGCTTGGGGTTGCCGCTGGGATCCGCTCCGAATAGTATCTCACTTTTACCACATCGCTAGTCTATTACAAAGTCACTATTGCCTCGATTCATTCTCTCTGCTCACAACTTGCAAGCGGTCCCGTTTACCAACTATGCTCCCCTGTTTGCTTGTCCTAGCTTCATCAATAGCGTGTACCAAGTTCTCGTCACAATATCCCTGTAGTATTTGCTTTTAAGGATGGCTGACATCAAGACAGCCTGCATGGCCTCTTTGGCAACCGTGCCTCTCGGAAAAACACCGGCCGAGGTACAAAATGGCAAAGACTTCTACAAGTAGTAAGTAAAGTTTCGCCTCACTGATAGCTCAATCTCGTTTGAAAACTAAATGCTGTTGTTCCAGCTTGTTCACCAATCATCAGGATCTTCGCAAGTATTTCAAGGGAGCTGAGAGCTTCACTGCTGACGACGTTCAAAAAAGTGACAGGTGCTCTATAATGAAATGGCTCGGATGTGGAAGGGAACTACACGCTTTCCTTCAGATTCGAGAAACTGGGAACTGGGCTGCTGCTATCTGTGCACATTCTAGCGAACACAATCGATAACGTGAGATCATTTTTCTTCGAGAATTTGGTAAAACTTCCCATAAATCTTTTCACTACCCCAGGAGATGGTGTTCCGCGCCTTCTGTCGCGACACAATTGACAGGCATGTTGGCAGAGGCCTCGACCCCTCATTGTGGAAGGTTCGTCTTTCTTCACATACCAGTACATGTGCACATTTAGTTTTGGAATACCGCAAGAAGGAAGTGAACAAAGTCCAAACTCGTTTGAATAGGAACGGTCTGCGATGACCTATCAAAATGGAAAGATTGTATGGGCAGGGTTGTGTGGAAAGCAATGGACAACCTTGTGCTGTTTTTGTGGGGACTTTGTGAGGTAAAGGAGATGAGGTGATAGGTTGCTTCAGTAACACATCCTTTTTTCCAGTGACTCCGCCACCGGACTCCGCCCTCAGGGTCTGCCTCCTAGCCAAAAGTGATGCTACCGGGCAAGTTACATGAAACGAACACCATTATATCTTGTGGAGTCGCAGGGTTCATTACAAGGAGTTAGCTGACTGACTAGTCCCAATACGCAGTTTTTTGCCTTTTATCCATTCCATTGCTTGAGCTGGAAGGTTTCATTAACGGCGCTGCCGACGCTTCCGTTCGGCGTTTACGCACACAGACGTGTCACCTGACGAATACTCCTCCGTTATCGCGAACCGTGTCTTCAAGCAAAGAACTGGGCAAATATATCCCAGGAAAAGCCCTTCCTCAAAATTGACCAAACCTTACGCCATGATGTAAATGAGGAACTTTTATCTGAATACATTAGCTATAATTTGCAGCCCTACCTGGAAATCATATTAAAACATTCAATTCAAGAATTAATTCATTGACACTCACTATCGTCATTCAGGCGTTCTGGGGTATCTGGTGTGCATTCCTAGAAAGCCGTGGACAAAGCGTGGACAAGGGAGCATGGGAGAAGCTTGGAACTATGTTCAACGATGAGTGCCAGCAGCAGCTCGCCAAGCACGGACTTCCCCACACGTAAACCTGATGGCTATTCCTACATACTGCTATATTTCACAATGTTTGGTTCACAAACGTGGCTTCAAATCACATTGCACTGCTAATAAAGAACTAGCGTGGAGTAACTATGCGTGCAACGAAGGGCACAAGATAAGTAATTTCCAATACTAAGTGAAAGGTTAGTGATCCATATAACCAATCATTTAAGAAAGTAACGCGATTGAGTCGTAGGTAGTAGTGAATGGGTAGTAATGTTCCCATAGCGGTAAGTGCAAGCCTGTAGCCGTGATTTTTTTGAGGGAAAGAAACGAAAGCACCGTTTACGAGGTCTCCGAACGTGTGGAAAAAGCGGCATTCTGCGGTTTCCGTGCAACCCGGCTGCAAATCGTTTCTTGCAATCGTGCAGTGTAGTCTTGGGCGCCCCACAGCACTGAAAAAAAAAACATCCTGCGGCCTCCGTGCAACTTGACTCTCAAGTCGTTTCTTGTGATCGCGCACTACTGATCATGGGTGCCGATGAACACCAGAAAAAAAAACGAAAAATTAAAGGAAAAACCCATGGCAGAGCACAGCTCACGGAAACCCGTGTTCAAAATTAGAATTACGATAAACGATTGAAGGCAAACCTTTGCAGAGGTGCGAAATACTCGTAATCCGAAATCCTTAGCAAATTTGAAGACAGTTCCTGCGCACTACCAATTCGTTGCTGTCGTTCCACGTTCAAATAATCTGGTCCGGTACAGTCTTCATTGGGGTAGTTGATTAGGCAGCCAAGGGTCGCGACGCGGCTGCGGCGTGTCACGAGCGCGGCGATCAGCTGTTTCCAGCCTATTTTAGCCATTTTCTCCCTAATTTACACTGTTTTGGCTGCTTTTCTCAAGATTAATTGTTCCTTGTCTTC